CAGTTAAGTGCGCGCGCTCCGCTGCTGGCGGCCTGGGTTCGGATCCCGGGCGCGCACCGACACATCGCTTCTCTGGCTATGCTGAGGCCGCGTCCCACATACAGCAACTAGAAGGATGTGCAACTATGACATACAACTATCTACTGGGGCTTTGGGGGAGAAAATAAATAAATAAATAAAATTAAAAAAAAAAAGACAATGGAAAAATAGACAAAGGATAAAAATAGATGGTTTGCAGAAGAGAGATGGAGAAGAATTCCCGAGGAAAAAAAAGAGAAACAAATGTTCAACTTCATCTAACAAAAAAACGGACAACTAAAACCACATTGAGATATCATGACACACACATCTATCTGACATTATCAAGAGTTGATGAGGATGTGGAACAATGAGTTGAGAGTGTAAATTTTTACAACCACTTTGGTGAATAATTTGGCAATATCCAGGAAGTTGAAGGTAACTCATAGCCATGAGTGTAATTCTATTTTCATATTTATGTATAAATCTTATGTATTCCTTGAAGAAACTCTTACCCACGTACACAAGAAGACACCTTTGTAATTGCAAAGGAAACAATGTTAATAATCCAAATGTCCCTTAGTAGGAGACTAGATACAGTTGGCCCTCCGTATCCTCAGATTTTGCACCTGCAGATTGAACCAACCTCAGAGTCAAAGGCCTACAGACGTAGATTGGGAGATGTACTAAATGCGTACAGACTGTTGTTATTATTCCCTAAAAAGTACAGTATAACAGCTATTTACATAGCATTTACATTGTATTAGGTACTATAAGTAATCTAGAGATGATTTCAAGTATACGAGAGGATGTGCTTAGGTTATATGCAAATATTATGCCATTTTTTATAAGATACTTAAGCACCCATGGATTTTGGTATCTGAGGGGAGTTCTGGAAAAATTTCCCGCACGGCTACCGAGGGACAACTGTATATAAATTTTGGTATATTTATCTATTGAAGTATTTTATATACTTTACACAACTGAACTAGATTTATCTAGTTGAATGTTCTTTCATCCTGATTTAATGTTTGTGGTAAATGTTAATATTGTTCACCAGACATTCCTTTGCTTCTCCTGGGCACACAGCAGGGTTGTACTTTCCTACCCTCTTTGAAGTTAGGTAAGGCCCTGTGACTTGCCTTAGTCAACCAAATATGAGCAAAGTGATGTGTATTACTTTTGGGGAAGAGTTCTGAGAGCCAATACCCAGCTCACTCTCTTCTCACTGCTGCTGTGATTGAGGAAGCACATATCAATCAATGCAAATCCTCTGTCACTTTGATCCCTTAGTGATACAATGAGCAGAGCCACTTTGCTGATTGTCATTGAATACATAGGGTGAGCGAAAAATAAACTTGTGCTGTGTTAAGCAACTGGGAGAGGAGGGCTGTCTGTTACTGCAGCCTAAACTACCTACAGTATTATTTTATGGCTCAGCTCAATTTACTGTGCATCTTATGCCACTTCCTTAAGTTTTCTTCCAAATCACAGAATACTTCCCCTTTTCCATAAAATAGAGGTACCATGACTTAGCCTCTTAATAGAGTCCTTCATCTCTGTGTCTTTCCAAAATGATGGGGAGCTTCTCTCAAAGCTCCTTCTCTGCCAGTCCTTACAGGTCATTTCACCAGTGTTTTTACTTGTTGCTTTGGAGTTAAGCTTCACAGTCAAGGGATTTATCACCAGAAAATCCATCCTCTCTCCCTTCCTCTTTCCTTTCTCTCTTATTTATCCGTGGATGGCTTTCATCATCTGCAGAGAGCAAAGCAGTTAGTGAAGGTATATGAGATGAGGGCTCAAGTACAGGCATGCCCAACTTTGGAAAATGAATGCATTGCGTAGAAGATACATGTAAGATTATTTACTCCACATCATTATAAAGCTAGAAATGTTTTGGCATCGTGGTAGTACTGCTCACCCTCTCTCTTTTCAGAGAATATAATATTATACTTAAAAGTACAGTGTATATCTAATGAGAATGTCTTTTTTTCCCCCAATCTATTTTAAGATTATATGTAAAGTAAGCTATAAATCTTGAATATAAGTAGCTAGGGTTAATTGTAGATTTGGGTTAAATAACGTAAATGTCTGAAGGAAGCCCCAGCACTAGTAAATGCACAGAAAAGGTCCCAGGGGACTTAACAGGCCTCACCTTTTATCATTCTCTTCTCAGTGTTTGGAGAATCTACGTCATTTTTGGACAGCTATCATTTTGTGGAAACTCTTGACTTTTATAAATGAACAGGTTGATATGGATTTGAAGTATAGAGAGAGACTCAGAATCAAAACAGAGCTGGTGTTTCAAAGTACAGCAGTTCATGAACAAAGAGAAGAGCGTACATGTTGAAATAGTAGAATGTGTAGAATAGTAAACAAACGAAAAAGAGAAACGAATCCTGGCTGAGGGCAGGTGTATATTCTGAAAAGGCATTGGTACCATGTCCTGGATCACTTTCCTGCTCTATGAATTCTAGAACACTGAATCTACATATATCATGTTTTTTTAAACAAATTTATTACACTTATTTAGTGTAATAAGTGTGTACAGTTTAGATAAAACAAGTGCCTATGTACCCATTACGCAGCTTAAGAACAGAACAAGACCAGTACTGGGGCTGGCCCCGTGGCTTAGTGGTTAAGTGCGCGCGCTCCGCTGCTGGCGGTCCGGGTTCAGATCCCGGGCCCGCACCGATGCACCGCTTCTCCGGCCATGCTGAGGCCGCGTCCCACATACAGCAACTAGAAGGATGTGCAGCTATGACATACAACTATCTACTGGGGCTTTGGGGGAAAAAAATAAATAAATAAATAAATGGCAAAGGAATTAAAAAAAAAACAAGACCAGTACTTTTGAAGCCCCTGCAAGATTTCATCTTGGAAATGAAATCAAGAAATGTTTGGACCCGTTGTTGAGGCTCCCTCTAAGATTTCATCTCTCCCCTCCCCAGACAAATTATCCTGAATTTTGTATAATAATTCCCTGGATTTCCTTTTTAGTTTTACACTTATGAATGTATCCCTAAACAAAGTATATTTTTAGTTTTGCCTTTTTTTAAACTTTGTATAAATGAACTCATACTCTGTTTTTCTGTGCCTTGCTTTTTTTCACTCAGCATTATGTTTTTTGATTCATCTATTTGTATATAGCTGTAGTTCATTAATCTCAATTACTCTGTAGTTTCCCCCATTGTAGTAATATTTCACAATGTATTTATCCATTCTATATTTTGTGGGGTATCATGTTTCTTTATAATAAAATACCGTAGGGTTAATTGCCACATGTGATTTGGTTTGTTCCAACCTTAGGTTCAACTCTTTTTTTAAAAAAAAGCTATTTGGCATGGAAAATGTGTTCATATCTTGAGATAATCAAGATATTCTAATTTCCCTTTTATCGTTGATTTGAGATAGTAATTAATTAATTTTGTTCATAGCACACTATTGGGATATATTTGGCTTCTCTTATCTTGATGCTGAATCTTGTGTTGGATTCACAGTTCCCATGGAGAATGTTGCAACAATTGCTGATTGTGCCAGTGTGATTGAAGGAGTCAGTCGGAGCCGAAATGCCTTGCTGAATGGGGACACCAAGAATTATGATTGGGATTCTGGCTATACATGTCATCAGTTAGGAAGTGGTGCAATTGTGGTTCAACTAGCACAGCCATACATGATCGGGTCAATACGGTAAGAAGATTCCTTTTCATTCATTGCTTTTAAAATGGAAGACACATGTGCAAATCGTGTTTTGGTACAGGCATGATCCTGATAACGTCAATGAAGACACTTCTCTGTTCTTTGCTCTAAATATCGAGGGGAGAATGAAGGAGGGAAGAGAGATACAGGGTGCTTGTTTGGATTTTCTGGAGGAGAGATGCACCAAATTAGACTTGGGGAGGGGCTAGACTGAGGCTTCTCCCTGGATATGGCTTACCTCCTTCTCAAGTCTCAGTTTGTATTGGGTAGGGACTTAACGGATATTGTCAAGAGAAGTTATATAGAATCAAAAATCATTTTCAACCTTAATAAATGACTTTACATATGAACCAAACAGTTCTGAATATTAGACCTGGTTCTAAAAGATCTTCTCTTGTGTCTGGGTTTTTGATTGTTGTTTTCATTTTTTGTTTTGTTTTAAGAAGAGAACTTTAACCCAATATTGCTTGATTTATAGGATCATATAATTTTAAAACGTGAGACTGGTGACATCCCCTAGAAGATATACTTTTAGTTCAAGAGTGCCATCTGGATCTTGAATAAGCTGCCCTTTTTTAAGCTTCTAAAAAGGTGTCTGAGAGACTAATGTGATATATATCTTTACATATATATTTATATTTAATGTTAGATGAGATATTTTACATTATATCTTAGCCTGCCAGGGGTAGAGATGTTGGCAGGACATGGCTGCCTTTCCCCTATCATGCGCCACCACATTTGCTTTGTTGTTTCCTAGTCTCATTTTAAAGTCAGTATGTATAAACAGAAATAGCACAAAAAAATAAGGTAGTAGGATTCTAATAGACAAAGGTTTACTAATGTTTAGGCTAATAACCACAGAGGTTATTGCTGCTTGCCAGTTCCAGGGGACACCCTGATGAGTGATGCTGGATTTCTTGAAGAATTCAGACTGTTGATTTCTTTATTTAAATTGTCAACCCCTTTTCATAAAGGGCCACATAAAGGCTGAGTACCATAGGCAACAAGTCACAGACAGAGAAGCCTTGAGTTCATACTGCAGACCAGACAACTCACTTTGTGGTTAGGATGGGGAAAGAGACAAGCCACAATCAGTCTGGACAAACTACTAGTAGAAATAAACTTCCATCACGTAGCAAACAACACCCCCTCCTTCCATTTTCTCACCTGCATACATTAACTAAAGTAATCATAAGCCATCTATTTAATAAGCCATTCTAGAATTTTTGTCATAGATGGTGTGAAACTTATCTGAATATTTCCCATTACAGTCTATTCCCCTTCACTTTAAAAATCTGGGAAACAGTTGTCCTTCTTTTGTCACTGACACTCCTTATAGTCTCCACAGTTTCTTGAAGATTACCAATCGTGTCTCTGAGATTACATCTGCAATTTCTTTTAGCAGGCTTGGGGTGTAACTCATCTGAGCCAAGACACTTGAAATCATTTAAATTGACTAGATACTCTCTTTCTTTCACTTCACCTATTTGGGACTTCAATTTTCTCTTTATTATGTTTGTTCTGCCATTTCTAATTTGAGGACCTGTCTCCTTGCCAATGAAGATGGAAGCAAACTGGCAGCTTAGTAGCTCTGCCCACTCTCTTTTAATGTTCCCTGTATTCTCTCTGCTTACCAGGTACCCCACACTGCCCCACCCCCACCTAACAATGTTCCATGTGCATCTCAAACCAATATGTCAGAAATGGAATTCCATTATCCTCCTCTTCCCCTGCTCAAGTCGCCGAACACTGTGATTTCCCCATCTCATTCGGTGGCACCATTCATCTGTCTCTCGACTGAGCCAAAAACATGGGAATCTCTCTAAATTTCTTCTTCTTCCTCACCTCCTCTCTCAACCATTCGGCTGTAAAGTTCTGTCAATACCAGCTCCTATCTCATAAATCCTTCCCCTCTTCTCCATCCCCACTGCCATTACCATAGTGCACCTTTGTAGTTTCTCTTCTCTACCTGGTCTTCCAGACTTCCATCGGGCCCTTCCTTCCCCACCTGCAACCATCTCCCTCACTGTTACCACAAATCCCATGTGGTCATACCCCTTCCCAAGAGGATTCGTGGCTATTCTTTGCCTTCAGATGAAAGTTCAGACAAAGGCATTTAAGAACCATCTGACTTGCTTCTGTCTGTACAGCCTGTCTCCTGCTTCTCCACTCACCCCTACACATACTCTGTCTCAGCCTATCCAGCTACTTGCAGTTTTATACGTGTGTCACCCCTCTCTTATCTCCATGCCTTCAACTTTTTGAACATGCTGTTCTCACTGCTTGCGTCTCTCACTACCTTCTCGTCCCTTGCTTTTTACCTGACTCTTATTACCCCTTCAAGACTCCACTCCACTCCACTCTTAGGGAATGCCTCCCCTACCTTCCTTCCATCATCTCCTGGGCTGATTTAGACATCCCTCTTCAATGATCCCATACATTCTGTATGTAATTCCTACTGGACCAGTTGTCATATTTGTATTATAATTGTTTACTTGCTGCCTCCTCTTAGCCTCACCTGATATAGAAAGCCTGTGGCAACTCAGAACAAGCATCTCTTGACAGATTGAATGTGCAGATGAGGTAGTCTGTCAAGATAAAGGAAAATATAGTAGGTTTCGGTAGGAGATCTAGAATTTTTAGATGTAGTAGGGACCTCATGAGATAGTTGCCAAGGTGACATCTCAGAGAGAGATAAACAGTCTCTTCATGTGGCAAGGCCACCTTGGCCTCTAACTCTACCTAAAGAATCAGAGATGTTGAATCTGACTCCAGAAAAAGGAGCTTTAAGCAAGAGATAGCAGTGCCCATTTGGTTTTCTTTAAATGTGGAATGAAAATGGTTCCCCCAAACAATTTTTCTTTTCCTGACTCAGAGGGGAAATGATGAGCATGAGTACAACCAAAGGCAGAATTGTATATCTCAGCGCAGTGTGAAGCCTCCAACTTCTTTAAGCCCAGCTATTGTTTTCGTGGTGAGAAAATCCATGCAATTGAAGCACTGTATAACTGGCTGAGCGCTCAAAGAAACACGTCTCTGTGAAACGAACATTATGTTGTCAGGAACTGCATTTGCCTCTTCTGTGACATTATTAAGAAGAAAGGGAGAGGGATTTCTTAACCACCAATGCCCGTGGACAATGCTGGGTATCTTGGCAGGCCATGGTTAGCAGCAGCTGATGTGGCCAGATAGATATTTATTGATAGGAAACTAGATCAGTGGCAGCTCTTCATGGGGATGGGTAATTGACCAATGACAGGTTGATTAGTCAGTGACATTTGACCCACAGCTTCTATTGCTTGTGATGACTGACTTGCTTTCCTAGTCACTGTATCCAAGAAGCCCAGTGATTCTGAATCAACACCTGGAGGGGGAGAGTATTACAGAGCGAGAGTAACACTTTCCCCATCTCAGAGGCAGGAGACGTGGCAATCCTGGAAACTCTAGGGGCCCAATCACAAGGAACACTGGCTTTACAAATGCAGATTCTTTGTAGATGGTGACTGCAAGGGCAAAGGTCTCAAACATGAATTATCTTGATCACTGCATTCTTTATTCCTAAGAAGGGACGTAATTATTTTGTGGATAAAGATTTCTTTTGTTTGTCTGTTTGCATGCACAGAAACCATTTTTCCTTTCCGGAGAGTTTACCCTATAACTGGATAGGCAAGCAGAACCTTCTTTCTTGACAGACAATGCTTGCACCTAACCACAGTCGGCCGGAGCCTAATCCTGCTAGTGTGTCTGGTACCAGTACCCTTGTGGTATCCTGGAGAGACTGATCTTAAAACATGGTCTCTGACCATCTCCCCTCCCCCCATTTTCTTTCATTCATTCAACAAACATTTATTGAGCCTTTTTCTATGTGCCAAGCACTGTTCTAAGCACTGGGGATACTGCATTGAGTAAAGAAAACAAACATCGGTGCTCTCAGAGAACTGACATTCTTGTGAGGGAAGGATAAACAATAAACAACACTGTTTGTGTTGCCAAGCTATTGCTCAAAATATGTCAGATATTTTGAAGTGCTATGGATCAGTCACGGGGGAGGACTAGGGTGTGGAGACAGGGCGGCTTGAAATTGGGTGGTCAGAGAAGGCCTCACCGTGCAGAGCCTGAAGGATGGGAAGAGCAAGCCGTTTGGGGATGTGGGGGGTGAACGTCACAGGCAGAGTGCCAAGGCCCCAGGGGGAGCATGTCTGGCAGCTTGTAGGAGCAGCAGGGAGGCCAGTGTGGCTGGGGCAGAGTGAGGGGGGACACAAGGCACGACAGGTGACTTTAAGAGGTGACAGCCCTGAGAAGTTTTGTTGCTGTTTCTATATCCAGTCACCATCTCCCAAAGCCATCCCACCCACCACCACAGCCCCCATCCCAGTGTTTCCTTAGCACGATGAGAGGGGAGTTTTCTTTGCTGAGGAGGGGAGGGGCAGGGCTGAGGAGGCCAGCAGGCTTTTAAAAGCCACCGTCTTTGCTCCTGGCCAGCCTTTATCCAACCAGCTCCTGGAAGGGAAACAGCAGGAGGCGTCCTAGTCCTTCAGTTTAACAGGCAACTTTCTCCCCGTCTTGTGCGTTTCTTTTCTCTTTCCCAAGAGCTTGAGCAGGCTGTATAACTGGAAAATAAAGGAGTTTGTCTTTGTTGTTGCTAGGTTTACAGGCACAGCAAAAGTTATTCATTTTATTTGAGAGAAAAAGAGAGAAATTGCCTGGAATGTGCCTTAAAAGTGGGTAACTGAGTAGTAATTATATCATTTTCATGCCATTTTAAAAACATTAAAATTTAAATAACAGGAAATCTTCAGAGGCCTGACCACATAAAAAGACCAGGGTAGAGTCATAATAACTAACCAAATCTACCTAATGTCTTAGTTTATAGTCCCTCTGTCACCTTAATTTAAGACTTATTATCTTTCTACTTGCTAATCATGATATCCTTTACAGTGTTTTCAGGCTAGTATGAGAAATCACATATGCTATGCATTAAGTATGCCTAT